GGGGCCAGCCCGCCGGTCCCCGCCGCGCTCTTTGTCCCGGCCGCGCGCGGGCAGGCAGGCGGGCAGGCGGGCGGACGCGTGCGCATCTGCCCCCCCCAACCCACCCCGCCCTCGGTGGGAAGAAGGCGCGGCGGGGACGCGCGCGCGGGAGCGCGCAGGAGCAGCTCGCTCCCCGCACCCCCCCCTTCTCCCTCGGGCAGGCGAGCGGCGAGCACGCGCGCTGCCGCCGCGCCCGCCCCTCCCCCCCTCCCGCGCGCGCACGCGTTCGCTGGCCCGCGCGCTCGCTCGCTCGCGCTCTTCGGAACTTGCTGACTGCGCGGCCGGCCGGGAGGAGCCCAGCCGGGGCGGGCGGGCGGGCGGGCGGGCGGGCGGCTGAGCGCGCGGGGGGCTCCCGCGTCCCTGCCTCGGCCGGCGGAGCGCCCACCCCACCGTGGCTCCCGGAGCGCGGGGCGGCGCCACCCTCCGGCCGCAGCGCGGCACTGCACGGCCGCCTGCGACTTTCGATGTTCCACACTCCCGGGCCGGAGCCTCGGCGGCGGCGGCGGCAGCTTTTTTTTTTTCCCCGCTCCCCCCCCCCTCGGTTCTCTCCCCCCCCCTCCTCAGCTGCCTCCATTTCCTCAAGGAAGGCTCCACGGCGCTCTCCCTCCCCCACAGCGTAGCGGCGCACGATCGGGCCGGGCGGGCGGCCGAGGTAAAGGCGGCGGGGCCGGGGCCCGCGTGGGGGGCGGCGGGGGCGGGGGCGGCAGCTTTGTTCGCGCCGGGCGCCGCGCTCGTCAGGCGGCGGCGCGGGGCGGCGGGTCCCGCATCCCCCGGCGGGCGAGCGGGCGGGCGCAGTTGGCGCGGTCCCCTGCGCGGCCCTCCCCACAAAGGACCGCGGAGCTGCGTGGCCCGGCGCTCGCCCCGGGGCGGGCCGCGCCAATTTGTTGCACTTCTGGGGGTGGGGGGTGGGGGAGGGCTTTTGTTTGTTTGTTTGTTTTGCCCTCGGGCTTTTGGCCGCTTTGCGGATTTTTTTTTTCTTCTCTACTCCCCCCCCCCCCCAACAAAATGTCGGTCGGTGAGGGAGGAATTGAGCGGGGGACGTCGGTGGCACCGGGAGCTTTGCAGAAGAAGGTGCAGTTCGGATCCTGCCCTTCCCCGGGTGGCAGCTCCGGCTTGGCCGGGTGAATCCTCGCCGCTGGCCGTGGGGACGGCGCTGGGGCGGCTGCCAGTTGAATTTTTTTTTTTTTTTTTAATTTGAGTGGTGTGTTCAAAGGCTTTCGGTGCGCACGGGAGGACCCGCCACCGTAAATAAGCATATGGACTACTAACAGGGTATGTTTCCCTCTGGGAAGGAGGATTTGGGAGCTCAGACCGGTGTCAGCCTGTAAATATTTAGACGATATTAGTGACTTCTGAACATTCTCAGCGAGATCTGTTATTTACAGTTGTCATATGTTATTAATGCCCGTTGCCCAAGTTCCCCTGGCAAATCTGTTTCATGCCTTCTGAGAAAGTAGACAATTGATAGATTGTCTGAGGGATGGGGGAAAATGTGAGTGAATGGGTTTTCTAATTTGAGTTTGGTAAATCCCTCAACGCCTGCCTCAGAAGACACAGCAGCCTCTGTAACCTTGCTGTACCTTGAGTATGGGGACTTTTCGAATCCCTTTCCACAGAAGACTCTCCTAGGGGCTTCCAGAAAGAGGAGCATGCTGCTGGGTTATTTTTGTATGGAAGATTTTAGCATTTCTCCACGGCCCCTTCTCTCCTTAGAAGTTTTCCCAGAGATCACTTCACCAAGATGTCCAGTGATAGGCAGAGGTCGGACGACGAGAGCCCCAGCACCAGCAGCGGCAGTTCAGATGCCGACCAGCGGGACCCTGCAGCCCCAGAGCCCGAGGAGCAGGAGGAGAGGAAGCCTTCTGCTACCCAGCAGAAGAAAAACACCAAACTTTCCAGCAAAACGACTGCTAAGTTATCCACGAGTGCTAAAAGGTAACATCTGCCTGCAGGGCAGGGCGCACGCCTGGGCAGGTGGCCTTCTGTCCCACCGCTGGCTTTGTTGGTTTAACAGCAGTGGCCGTCCTTCGGAAATACTTCTCCATCCCATGTGGTTGAACTTGAAGGAGCTGTCATTCTGCTTGTGGCATAGAAGCCGCCACCCTACCCCTGTTGACTCTGCTCTGCTCTCTAAAGTGAGGAGTGAGTGTCTCCAGCAGAGCTGAGGCTGGTTCTGACAGATGAAGGACTTGGCCAGGGAATTTGGATGGGGCACTGGAGAGGTTTCCTCCTGTGAGGCGTGCTTCAGTGAAGCTGGCAGTGCTGGAGATCAGCAGTGCCTCTCGCCATAAATTGAGCGGTCAGATATGGTAATATTTACTGGAGCATTGGTAAATGCCAGGCTTGGCTTTATTGGGAAGCAGGCTCTACAGTGTGCTTTAAATTGGCCAACAGTTTGGACGAACAAGACTTTAAATCTCACTGCACAGGTGTAACTGTGCTAATTATTGTTATCCCCCCTTCTTGTGAGGACACGTAAAACTTAAAAGTAGCCAGTGACAGTTTTAGATGTCTTTCGGTGGCTGAAAATTTCATTGTGGTCTTCCTCTTGACTCATAAAACTTGTGGCTGTGTTTGACGGGTTAACTCAGCAGCGGGGAAAATGACTGAGTCCAAGCTAAAGATCAGTTGTGTTCTGTTGACTTTTATATTCTGGGATGACAAGCGGTTGTGCCAGTGGGACTGAGTGGTAGTGGTGTTGGGGTACCTGGAGACACTAGCAGTTCAATGAAACTTGCTCACCGCATCACCCAGGACAGGTGTTCTGTTGAGTTTTTGTTGTTGTTGGCCATAAATGAAGGGAGAAAAATTTAAAAACTGATCAAATGTTACATTCTTATCATGATTCAAACTCTCTGTGTGGATTTTGACCACTAATCAAATGCTAACAGCTTTAGAATATTTTATTGACCAGCAGCAACAGTCTTTGAAAGAATCTAAAGTACCCAGTTTGTTGTCATCTTGTGGAGGAACATGTTAAACATGTCTCAAGTTTTGAAAACATCCTAGTTACGAAGAATGTCAGAGTTGCCTTTTGTCTGTAGCTTGAGTTTGTATATTTATCTTCTTTCCTGATGGAAATTTATAGAACTTTAAAGGTATGTCTAAAAATCAGGGATGATAGTCAGAGTTAATGGGAATGCCAGTTTGAAATTTTTCATTTGACAAAGATGATTAGAAATTTTAAACTTTTCTGACAGATAAAATTTTATTTCCAGAAACTGTTACTGTGCTCTTGTAGCAGCCTGTTAATTTTTAGCTCAGTAAAAAGTGACTTGAAATCATTGTCAAATTCTCTGGTGTTTTCCCTCCTCCCTTTTTGTCTCATTTGCATATAAGCTTGAACAGAGAATTTCTTTGGTAAAGCGTGTTTTTTATTAGATTCTGTATCCTTCACTTAGTGGTCAGAAAGGACTAGTTCTCCAAACAGGTGGAGATGACACACTTACGTACGGTAGCACGTGAGAAAAAGAGCTGCAAAGTTTCTGCTAAGGGATTTGGGCTATGCCTCTGAGAACAAAGAGGAAGCAGCCATGTTAGCATTACTGAAGGCAAAGCCAGCCTTGCATTTAACTGCGTGGTGGTAGAGGGCAGTGTAATTCCCCGGTTATTCTGTAGACTGCCTCAGATCCTTTTTGTTTGTTCTCATTTCACTCGCAGAATTCAGAAGGAGCTAGCTGAAATCACTCTTGATCCTCCTCCCAACTGCAGGTAAGAAACACATTTTGTTTGCATTTCGAGTTGTGGAAAAACATTGAGAAATTAATGTAATGATCTTGCCTGGATATATGTGCAGCCTAAAAAACTGACTTCATTTGTTTTCTGTTTTTTGGAGTGCACTAAAGTGAAATTATCTAGCTTAAATAAATAAAAATGGGGGAAAAGATACTCTTTGGCTTGTATAGATTGTGAACTTACAAACACAGGATTTTGGCGTCTGAAATTGGCGTGACCGGTGCTGATTTTGCTTGCATGTCTGTAGAGCGTTTCTGTGCACAGCTATACTTTGGTGATTTCTAACATTTTCAGCTCTAAAGAGCTGTTTGTGTGCAATCTGAACTGACCTTCCAAATTTAGAAACTGCTGAATGCAGTGTTAGAAAATATAAGTGCAGTAAACAAGAGTGTAGTTGCTTCTGTTTGATCTGTTGGTCAGTCGCCTTCAGGACAGATTTTGCGTGCTAAACTAATAGTTTCAGTTGTTGCTTTCTGGAGGGTGCATTTTTGGAATTATTTACATTTTAAGCAATTGTCCTAATTACTTGAAAATTCTTAGTAAGCAGAAAGTAAATTGTAATCGTGGAAAGAATTTGTCTGGAACCTAGGTAGAGTAATTTAAGGTTGTGATTAATAATGTTAAGATGCATCGAAAGTAGCCAGTGACAAAAATCTGCCAGGTTTTTTATTTCATCTTATATACTATACTTCTATTTTTGAACAGTAATTATGTGGCTTATGAAATTATCATTTTGAGATTAATTTCAATAGTTTGCATAGGGATAGGTGCTCATGATGGAGTATGTGTGGTGCAGTTGAGGTGATGTTATAGTTTGGTAGGAATATGCTTTAGTGTTTAATCTGTTTCTGCTACAAATTCTGTGATTGCTTGTGTTGACCGGACACATTTCTGGAGTCAGCTGTGGACGCAAATGTCACTGACCTCTACCTGTACATGATTATATCTGTTGATAAAGTGACCTCATTCTGAATTTTTCAGTGAATTAAGTTTTGCTTATTGAAAGTGGTATGTCCAACCGCAGTATTAACTTGGGAGGTGTGCTACCCAATACAGTAGCCACTGGCCACTCCCAGCTTTACTTGTGGCAAGTTTAAAATGGCATGCTGAAAGTGTGACTTGTGCACTGGATTGTAAAATGACATGCTGAAAGTGTGACTTGTGCACTGCATTTTAAAACATGTTAAAAGTGTGGCATGTGCACTGCATTTTAAAAGCTTAGCAGAGCGTAACATTTTGCTTTTATGTTGAAGTGATAATATTGTGATTATGTTTAATAAATGTTCCATTTAGTCTAGTTACTAAAAAATTTACCACTAATTATGAGTGAATAATGTTACATTTTTGCTGCTTTGAAAATAAGTAAATTGAAGTCCAGCCTCCCAAATGGTGTGTCAAATCTGTGTTCACTTAGGAAAGGTCAAGTTAAGTTTACTCTCTGAAAGAAGCATTTAATTTGCAATATGTGTAATTATTTTTCCCGTTATGAGAAATGTAAAGATTAGTACAAAAATGTAAGATCAAACATTTTTAAAGGTGGTTGGCTTTTCTGCAAATAGCACAATCCAGGGGACCAGAATAAACCTACAGAATGTGATAGACGTGTGTCGATTACCCTCAGAGCAGTCTGCGGTGGTGAAGGACCCAGCTTTCACAGAAAACCCAGGGATGTTTCCACAAGGTCACTGAGGACTGTCTTAGAGGAAGTAGACACTTTGTGTGGGGCAGAGAGCTTAGTTTGTTCTGGATTTTCCCTCTTGTGTACCAGTCCTTAAGGCAGAGCTTAGCATTTGGTCACTGAACGGATGGACTGGTGAGACTTTGGGCGAGCTTGTGCACAGTTGTCTGTGCCTGCTGTCCCTTGCTGTGTTTGATGATGTCGTTCAGTTCTCTACTCCTTTAGGATCTGCGTGTCTCTGAAGCTGCATAAGTAATTAGACAAGAAGTGGGCATTGTAAGTGGTTTCTGGGCATTTGAAGTTAGGCTTTTTTTTTCTTGTATGTCTTACATGTAAAAAGACTAGATACATGGGCATGTCTAGTTCTGTGTAGAAGGTCTACTCCTTACCTAGGGTAGGAACTTTGTAGATTGAGTGTTTAGTGCCGGAAGTGTAGAATTTTGACAGAGAAGTCTAAATTTGTATTGTATTTTTTGCCTTCTTATCAGATCTAGGAAAGAACATCGTAGTGTTCTTTAAATTCGTAGGTGTTTAAATAAATGTTCATTGTAAGCCTGTGGAGATTGTATGCTTTAAACTTAACCTTTGTTTAGGCTACCTTGACAAATGAAATTACATATTCATAAGTACATTTAAGATCTGTGGGTTTATATTGTCTGCAATGTAAAAAGAAACCTAATACATTTGGCTTTTTGTGTATAGTTATTTAATCAAATACCATTATGGTTTTGGGTGTGACTTCTTTCTTTCTTTCTTTCTTTCTTTCTTTCTTTCTTTCTTTCTTTTCTTTCTTTCCTTTCTTTCTTTCTTTCTTTCTTTCTTTCTTTCTTTCTTTCTTTCCTCTTTCTTTCTCTTTCAGCAAGCTTGTTAAAGGATGTGACCGATTTAATTCTTTTTGGGGGTAGAAATGTATCTATGTATCTCAGAAAAAAGTTGAATGAAATCCAGGAAAGTTCAGAAAAAAAGCCAAATTACTCAGATTAGGAAGGATTTTCTTAAATATCTTCTTTTAATTAGCATTGTTAGGTCTAATCCACAGTGCTCAGGTATCGAATTAGTTGTTGAATTGTGTAAATTTTTTTTTCTGGCACTAAGAACATTGATAAAGATGTTATCTCTAGTGATAGACAGTATTTCAGTTCTGGAATTATGAGGTGCCGATGCTCACAGGCAGGATAGGGCTCCAATCTCAGTTAAGTCTCTTTGGAAGGAAGCTCACAGACATGCCCCAGGGGCATTCCTAGGTGAGTTCAAACCCAGCAGCTTGCTCATGAAGATTAGCGGCACAGATGCAATTATTTTTTGTTCAAATTTATAGCCTTGCCATCCAGATCTCAGATTAGGCTATAAATAATTGATAATGCTGGTAAAGTTGGAAGAAAATTGTGTGGACATTGCTCTGCTTTTATAGAAGCCTGTTGACATGACCACTGAGTGTATGTGCTAAAAGGGTGGACCTCATCTTCCAGGCGCTGCTTGTAGAAACTGCAGATTTCTAACTTAGCCCTATTTTTTCTGTGTATATAAACAAGTACAAAGTATGCTTCTAAAATACTCCTTAGCATTGTGATGCAGACAGGCAGGGTATTGGGAGATAGTTTTTGGATATGGGAAATGCCTTAATTGGGGTAGGTATTAGAGTTTTAAGCTTGTAATTTTTTCAGATAAAACCCAAGATCAGGTGCTTAAAAAGTTTCGCAGGTTACCCCTGAAGAATGTAAAACTGGAAGCCTGAGTTTTAAATGAGAAGCTGGTAACCTCTCCCTTGTTCATAGGCTCAATCTGGTATTTTCTTGGTAGATAGACCCTTGCTACTGGTAGGGTGGCCTGTCGTCTGTGTATCACAGGTAGGATTGTGGGAAGTACAGAATGTTGCTCCACGCTCCCTTCACCCTCCTCCATCCTCTGCCAGAGATGTGGAATCAGAACATTGAATGTAACAAGATTTGAAGATTCTTTTGTTAGGTTTGGAAAGTCCTAGTGTAGAAATAAGACTGTCTGGACCCTTGCTCTGCTACTTAGTAGAATGTCACTGTTAGCAAGTTATGCTTTATTTATATCTGTCTACTTTCTCAGTTCTAATTAGCCTGGAATTCCAGGAAAATAACTATTTTGGATTGGAGAAAACATTAAAGATCATGTATGTTTGTCATGATAATTACTTCAGTTGTAATAATTCCAATATAATCCTAAATTGTCATTTTTACTTGATTATAAGAAGAAATTGATATTCATAGTAATCATACTTTTTGCTTACAAATCAGCATAGGAGAAGAACTTGAGACTATTGTAAAGCTAAAGACTTCTTTTCCCCCCAGAGAAGTAACTGAAAACAGTACCCCTCAAAAGTTAGTTTTATTAGGATCTGTTAACACTCAGTTCAAATAATGTCAGAAGGTGTGTGGGAACAGTAAGTGCTTTTGAATACTTGTACGCTGCAAATTGTGTTCTTCTCTATATGCAACTGTTTGGTATCTCCTGAGTGTGATGCTGTAACGGGTGCATTGCTACAGGAGAATCAGAAAGATTTGTTTGGGTGTTCAGGTTGAAAAGGCAGAACCTGACCTTTTGCTTTTTACAAATGTGTGAGAAAAACAGAAAACTAGGTACAGGTTTAGTGAATAGAATACAGTTATTGTCTTTCTTCCCTTTTCTTTCAACAGAGAAATATGTTTGGCTGTTTTACTAGAGGCATAAGTATTAGAGAATGGACTGTATTAATTTTTTAATACTTTTCTTTTCCTGTGTGATCAGTGGTTTAGTACGAGCACTCCATTTCTAATCTTGGGGGATAGTTGCACATGCCCAGAGACATCATTGTTCTTGAGAGTTGGAAAAGGAGTGCACTAGATTTGGTGGGTAAATGTCAGAGATGCTGCTGTATTCCCTGCAAAACATAAGAGATTCCTCCCTCCCCCCAGACTTTCTCAGAACAGAGCATCAGTAATGCTGGGAGGAATGCTATAGACGCTTGATCCTGTGCTCTGCCTCCTGAGCTGGGGAGAGTTTGCTTCTGACTTTTTCTGCTGATGTCAGCTTTGATACATGCATTGGCGCTTTTGTCCTAACAAGTCCCCATTGCTTGCCAGTCCTCTGGGAGTTTACATGTGTCTTATAGTATGATGTACGAAGCCACAGGAATTGGTATCACGAGTACCTGCTAAATTATGCTTTTTTTAAATGCTTTCAGCAGTGTTCCTTTTAGGTCTCGTAACTGTTAACAGTACTTTGGCTGTCTCTGGTGTTCTAAGGAATAGTAAGGGACAGCAAGGGAGAAGTATGCAGAGCTGGAGATAAG